ACAATAATAACAGCCAGTAGCCTACAAGACCACTATCTACCTGGATGAAGCATCCCATTACAAAGAATTCATTACCAAGTAAGGCAAGAGCTGACTCAAAACCCAGGATCTAATTTCAACAATTAACAACACTGCCAATGACTTGAGCAATTTCAGCACAAACAAAGCACTGATTCAAGGTAACTTTGCACTGAGGAAAAGGGGATCATCTTTCACAAATGATAGCTTTAGAATAGATATAGGAGCACAAGTGCTGGCACTGCAAGCCAAAATCTTGGAGTTTAATTGCATCAGGTGGGCTTGGTTTAATCCCCATCAATGCTGATTGATTTAGGAAGGGGTGATGAGTACATTGTGCAATGCAGCTGAATGGTCTGTGATTGAAACAATATGCCTATTCTAGCCTCCAATTAGAACATCTTCACAGATCTGGGCTACCTGCAAAGGTAGGAGTCTGGTGCTGGTTAAACACTGATAGCAGAACATCATGGAAAACAACAGGGTCTTGTCTCTCTTGTCTGCCAAACACATTAACAGCCTATCTTGCTCACGGGAGAAGAATGCAGGGTAAAATTGAATAAACACTTTCCTGACAACTACTATATAATGTCTCACTTCTACAGGCATTTTTAATACTAGTCTAAAATACCACATTAACCATAGTTAATTGGATCAATTTTTTTCAATGCTTCCAATTTAAAAAAAAAGTCACAACCAAATTGAAATTTTGATGAAGTCCTTAGTTTAAATAAAATAACAAAAAAAACATAATAATAATAATAAATCTAGCCTTAATGATCATGACTTGCCTAAAGAACATTAAAAAGTCAACCATAAAAAAGGGATGGATTAAACAAGTAACAAAGCTCTAGCACAGTGGACCTTAACTATGGGTCTCATTAAACAGGGGCGGATTTAGGGCGTCTTCTGGGTCTTCCGGAAGACGGTCAGATTTTCAAGTTTACATTGACGGGTATCTAATTTTTTCTGTCGGAAGACGGTCAAAAATGGAGGATGGATCAACAAAGATAATTTGGAAGACTGTCAGAAAATAACTCTGGATCCGCCCCTGTTAAAGGCAATGTATAAGATGTAATGAAATCTATAGCCTGTAGAAAAATGTTGCAAACACTAACATGGGCAGCATCCACTGAAGCCATTACCTTAGGCCACTACATACTTACACCATCTGGTTTACTTGGATGTACAGAAATGTCAGTTGGATGGACAATCAAGTACAAGCTAGACTCGCTGAAGATTTCATCACAGAAAACATGCACTATTTCTTGTCTTAAGGAAAAAAGGGAACATATCTGCTATTAAATTAAATTAGAGGCAGGCTGACCATCAAGTTCAATAAAAATGCATATATTCATGAGTGGACAATGAAATTAATCTTGGTGCACTAAGGAATCCATAGTCCTATCAATTTCAAGCAAAGAAAACAATCTACTGCGCAAAAGGGCAACTTTTTCAATACTAATCAACCAAAGAAAGCCGATCTGACTTTCATGGAAATTGTATCTGTATTTAAAACTTTGTCAACTCACTGTCTCTCTGAAGTTGTCTAATACGTTGCAAGTGATAAATGCAATCTAGTAAAACGGAATTGTCGATCCTCATAAAAAATCCATGACAGAGCTTTTCTTCTTTCCCAGTCCTCTTCATCCATCCCTGCAACAATCTATACTTTCAGCAAGAACAATTGTGTGTGGCTATTCAGAATTGCTATGGTAACCAGAAAAAGATACCCTTGAGATTTAGATACAAGATGAAACTTTATTCTATCAAGCCAGCATCTTCCCAATTTATTGGAAAAGAACAATGCTTAGATTACAATGCCATTTTCACATCCAAAATGTCATTTTCCTCTTTTCACTGGCTGGCCTAATCAATAAGAAAATAAATTAATTTCACTTGTGCGGCAACAATACCACATAATCCTGTTCACGGTCTAGGACTATGATATATTTTAAAACTGTACAAAGGAGACAATGCAGCAGATTCATACACAAAAAAACAATCCATTGACATCAGCTGTGTGTTACAATGCAGCCATGATTGATGTAGAGCTGCAAGCACTCAAGAGCAATACAAAAACAATAGGTCAATCCTTCTTTGTCCTCTACTGACATACAGTGACAATCATAAAAAGGCCTGGGGTAGTAGGTGAGGTTAAAGCACAGTTCATTTTCTATTGAAATAGTTATTTCTAGTGTGCATGAAAATATCTTTATTTCTGAAAACTTCTATATGTACAATTACAAAGCCGTTAGTGTAAAGAAAATTCATGTACAAATATTGAGTAAATATGCTTTAGTTTAAACTAAATCCACTAGACATCAAGTGTCCAGAAAATTTCTCCATTAGAGAAAAACATAAGTATGGACATGAACCAATATGCCATGTTTGACACAACAACCCACACACATCTGCTCCTTCATGTTACTGGATGGATTTAATGGAAGTTGCTTTTTCAAGGTGACTTGACACCAACAGGTAAATTACACAGGTAAATGACAGGCAATTGATTCAGCAACTTAATCTTTTGTGAGCATTATTTGATGGAGGCAATTCTGCTGATCACAGGCTATCTGCTCTTGTCATTTCTGCTTGATTTGATGGTGTAATCGTGGGTAATTGTCCTGATATTTTAAACCAAGACTTATTTTTCTTTCTGTCTTCTGGAATTTTTTCATTTAAATTCACTTATTTCTCAAAAATGTATATCTATATTTCAGACTATTTTCGTAAGTATTTAAATCACATTATTTCGATTATGGTCCTATTCTATACAACTATACATGGACATGCAGTAAGATCTGATAACTGGTAATTAACAATTTAAAGTGACAACTGAACTAGCAATGAATATGATAAATAACCTCTTCCTCAGTACTGCACTGTCAGCAATATAATTAAGATCCTTATATTGGCTCCTGTTTATCTAAACAAAAGGCTTTTTAAATTAGCATTTTCTGCAATTAACCTTTCTACAATTTATAACATATTTTGCACATTGCCTGGGAATGTTTTATTTATATAGGGGGAGGGTCTAATGGATCAAGTTAACAAATTATCTCAGAATATCTCAAATTAGTTTAGTTTCTAGTTTTACTGATCAATACATGATTAAATAAAGTATTACATTAATTCTCCTTTATTTCAAAGAACTTTAAGAAACAAGGAATGTTATACATTCTTCAATGCAAAAGCAAAATGTAGGCCAAACATACATGGAGTCTATGACTCAGACATGCACATCTAAAACCATGCTGAGACTCTCCATAAGCTGCATACAATAACTCAATAAAACAAAACATTTGTAATATCCTATAGGAAGTAGAAAGTCAAGTAGATGAAAAAGAAAGCAATGCACTGAACAGTAATAAACAAGAAATATATGTAATGACAAAATCACTTTTCGAAAATGGGTCTTGTGATTAGAAAGTATACAAGAAATTAGACACACCGGTATTAAGACAAGTCACATACTTACAAAACGAATACTTGCAGTAACCTATAACAACAAAAATCATTATTTTGATTCAATGTTGGACTCTAACCGCCCGTCATATAGCCAATATCTTGGGCTAAAGGAATCATTGTTTAAAATTATATCTGAATTGATTTGATTGTGTTAGAGAAGATTAAACAACAAGATGGCAAATACCACAAAATGTCTAATTAACAGTATACTATCCATAATTTCCTCACCAAATTAACTTTTCATCAAAAAATGCGTAATTTTCTCCTACTGACAAATCACTCCTCAACTCACCCCTGGACTTGGATTCATTGTTTTATAAAGTTTCTAATTATATATTTTAGTTCTATATGACTGGCCAGTTTTTTAGACCTCCATGTCTTCCTGTACAATTCAGTAGGTAATATCCTCGTCAGGTACTTTTATCTGCCGTGTTTTATTGTTTTTAAGTGTGCAGCATATTTAGACATAGAAAAAGTGAAAAGTGATTGGGGGCATTTTCAAATGAGAAACACTGTAAAACTAATAAAATAAAAACATTAACAAAAAGCACTCAATTCACAACTTCATGTAAGATTTAATGGATATTCATCATAAACTAGATTGAAACCTGATTATTTTAAATTATTTTTTTAGAAATCAGACAAAAAAAGGAAAAATAAAGAAAAGAATACATAGGTGCAAAACTATGTAAGGAAATTCATGTACGTAAAGTTAAATTGAAAATAGTGGCAAGCTATGTTAGGATGAATAAGCAAACTTGCATCCACAGATACAGAGGATGAAAAATCGAGTTTGATACACCTTTTCTCTCCTTGATCAAGGTATTGGTGAAGAGGTAGTAGGGTTCAAATCCCACACAATTACTTCATTAAAATAGACATGTTTATATATTGTGCATTCTTGCAACAGGAAACCTACATTGTCAGAAAAAATTATTGTTGCATATTATGATACTTTTTTACGGCATATTGTATTGATATATGTCAACAATACATAATTGTGCTTTGTATTCATATTAAGACTAAGAATACAGATACAAAATTCATTGTGATATCTGTTATTGGTTGATAAGTAGGATAAAGGCTTTTATGTGCCATCAGCCAATTGTTTTTTCAAGATGGCAGAGACATAAATAGGGGTAGGACACCTCACACACTTACCTCACTTAATGCAGAGACTTGTTATCCTAAAATTATTTACCCTTCAAAATTTGAAAATTAAAATTTTGTTTTTATATACTGGAATTGAATTATGAAATTAAGCATAATGACAACTGCTATAGATTCAACTAGCCCAAAATCAAGTGATGTTTACAGTTTAGTGTGAAATTTTTCAACTAATTTCATCAAAAGAAACATATCAGTGAAGGGTAACAACTTTAAAATAATCACCAGAAACACGTACAATTATCCTTTTTATACTATTTTGCCTTCAAATTCATTGTTACATAAGAAAAAAAAAACAAATGCATGGAAATAAACCATTTAAAAATCAGAAGCGAATATCCTACCTTCCACATTGCTGTTCCTTGGAGTGAGGGTCTTCAGCACTGGCAGCCAGCTTGTTATTAAAATGAAAATCAGGCAAACCTGGAGAGAGAGGAGAGAATGACAGTAAGTATCCATTGACATTTGATGTCAGGAGGTGTGAGCCTATGGTAGGGTTGGGCAACTTGAACCACTAAAATACAGCCTGGTTCACCCTCAGAAGTGTCCACAGGAAGCATCATTGTAATACTGTTTTCTGTATATTAGTGCTTCTAATTTACAATTTACACACTGTCATTGGTAACTGTTACTTAAAAAATATAGAAGAAATGACTATTATGCAAAAATATCCAGACATATTCCCTAAATACGGTAGAATCAGTTTACAAATTGAGAAACAGAACTTTAAAAGAAAAATTTAATATTTCCAAAAAAAAAACTCATTGTGCCTTTCTCAACGAACGTTCCTATTCTCTGTGTCTACTTTGAAGTCTTGTCATTTCCTCAGTACATCATGCTTTTAACCCTAGCTGTGCCACACTGACGGACTTGGGTAGATTCAAACTCCGATATTTTTAGTTAGTCTTCAAATCCCAGTCTAACACTTGTGTTATTGTTCTATTGTTTTTGCATAAAACATTAGGCTTATAATGCATCTCATAAGACTAACTCTCACCTTCAGAGTATTCTGATATTCGATTATTTCTGAGTGGAATGATGCTAAGTACACACCCCTCACAATAAGTCCTGGCTATACTTGCTAATGTTCCCCCAAAGAACGAAGCAGAGTCTCAGTCCTATTGTTTTGATTACCTCTGGGCTCCCTTCAGAGCACAGTGTTAATTACCTGTTTGACTCGTGCATTCCTGACTCCACAACATTAAATTGCTACACTGTCGGTTGGCCAGAATTGCCAGTGCATGCACTCAATTGCCGAGAACCTTTAGCTTGACTCCCTGTCTTCAGTTCACACACTCTGATTAAAAGTCTTCTGATTTGTCCCAGGGGGAGGAAAGGTTTTCAATGTAGTCTCAAGTCAGTGACACCTTCCTCTTCTAATCACTAAGAATTCAGCAATTCCGTCTCACTAATACTTTTTATTAAAACAATTGAAAATAAAATAATTCCTTTTGCCGATATTGAGAGCAGAATCTCTGGAGAGCTTCCAGACGATTGATTAACAGGCGCTGTCCCCTAACATTGATCCAAGTTAAACTCATCGTGCTATTGTACATTGATCCATTGTCATGTATTAGAATGCATACTTATCAAAATGCTTTTACAGAAGTGCCGCTCATTAGACAAAGTCTATTTTCTCAGGCCATTGTAAGATGGAAGTAATTTGTCGGTGCTGCAGAGTGCTTCCATAATTTCATTAGCTGATATCTTCACACAGAGTGTTTGTGCATTTGCTCCTGACCACAGAAATACAATCAATGCCTTCTTCCTGTGCTACAAGAAATCACTTCTTCCTCTTTGTTCCTGACATTACATACAATGGAAAGTACAGAAAATGTAAACCCTATTCTTGTATTTACATTACAAGTAGACTGGATTTCCACATTATCCTCAGAAAACTCATAATATTTTTTCCTTTAGCTTTCCTTTGGACTTTCCTCTTGAAATTAAATATCAATTAGAACTTTTAACAATCCAATTTCAGAAAGTCAGATAAAAAAATCATTGCAAATACAATTTATTGGCAGCTTCCTTTCATTTGCGCAAAGGGTGAGAAGATTAAACACATTTATATGTTACTTTTTCAATGCCAGCTCTATTTATATCTACAAAATAATTCGACATATTAAAGTTAAACATTGGCAGAACAATTCCTATTGTCATTTAGGATACATCAGTGAGTTTTCATCAGTAGTGGAAGAAAGCGAGTAGATATGCACGATTGATTTTTGATGAAATTGTCATGTTGTCTTGCCTTATTATTGATAATGTTTGCATGCACTGGTGTTCGCCTGAGATACTGCACTGCGTGGAAAGAGAAGAGGTTGATTCTGTCACAGTTCCGTCTGCCCCAACTTCGATTGCATTTCTGCACAGAACTTAGTATTGAACAATGGGGAAGGAAATTAAAAGTTGCAGAAATAGAAAATGTAGCAAGTGCAACTGCGTGAGGGCTCCATAAGCAGCCAACCAGATCTAACATGCATTTTAGCAATGGAAATGCACTTTGTTTCATTTACACAATGGCGCCAAGAGGGCAAAGCGCTTCATCTACAATAACATCCAATTGTGTTTTAAAGCAAAGATTATCACATCACAAAACTTCAAGATTTAAGATTATTTAAGGGTCTGAAACAATATCTGACTACTGAGGTATGCTTCACCGACTCTGCGTGGGGGTGGATCAGCAATGCCTAAAACATGATCAAAGTAAAAGATGTTTTTGTGACTGGTGTTCACTTTTAATTAAATAAACAGTCAAATCATTATATTCTAACTCTGCACAGGCCACACACTAAGTGTTGTGTTTACGGTTATAATATAAAATTGGCATCAAGGGATTTCAACATTTTACAGGTATGCAGACAATCTGATTTCTCTGCAATGCACAACTTCTTTAAATCAAATGATCATATATCCATACATCATTTGATAGAGTAATCATTCTTTCTGGGCAAATGCTTCAATTTTGAAAGAAAAGATATACAGTTACATCTTGTTGAAGTGGCATTTCCTAATATTTACAATGAAGTAACTTTCTTGTCTTCCACCAAAAATATTTTCAAAACAGTGCTAAATATGGTATATGGTAATATCACATGATTATACCATACCCAACCATGTGTACTTTAGTCTTCTGTTTAATGGAAAAAAGATTTGTTAACAAGTTATATCTACCTGTGTATTTTGACCAGACTCAAGAAATCGTTCTTCTTCTAAACACTTTTCTGGCATATATCTGCTGAATATAAAGGAAGATCACAATACGAAATATGAATTGGTAAAACCTGCATTCATCCACTGCTGTAAGTTTTGCTTTACTATTGTATGGTATGGAATGTTAAATTTCTCATTTATTGCTTAAAGGGATAACAACTGTTCAGAAGATATCCATATTTCATAATAAATTTATTGTAAACAATTCATAGGTTATAATGAATACTATTTTACCACCAAAACATTGGTTAACATAATTATTCTGGAATTTGTGCTTGCTATCACATCACATGACCTCTATAGATGGCTACACTCTGTAATAATCTCTTAAGAGAATATTACAAAAAAAACTTTTTAGAAAAAAAAAAAAAAAACAGGGACTAACTTTGAATGTGGGAATGGATTCATTAACCACTGGTAAGAATAAGAAAACTGTCCTTTAAACCAGGAAAATCCATTCTTGGCCAAAATGAATAGTTGTTATCCCTTTAATATTTTCACACAACTGTCATTAAAAAAAAAATGACTATGTAGTAAAAAAGTTTGCAATCTCTACTCTTATATTGCAACTAGACAAATAACAACAATTGTGAGCTTTGTGTATTTTTCACACACACATTAATATACTTCCATTGTCTCTTGTTCATATGACCTGGGTCATTCTTTTTAATTCAAAATTAACATGTGTGGGGTTCAATACTGAGATATCATGACATGCAACAAATAATTTAATTATCTGAATGAATTAATATTTTCCCTCTGCAATTCTCACACAATCCTTTTCCCGCCACAAACAGTGCAAAGTCCAATTATTAAGTGCTGTCAAAAGGAGTGTTAACTTAACATCTTGATAATTTTCAATTTCTAAAAAATTCAATCCAATATGTTTCACTTTTGATAAGAAACATAATCACCAGAATTGGAATAAAATCCTGTAAAAATTTTGGTTGCTGTCCTGAACAACCATCCAGTATGATCCAATCTAGTGGTTTTGGAGCACCTGTAATCCTAAGAGCTGCTTTGTTGCCAACCCTCATAACATCATATCAGACAATAGATTAAACACACGGACACATCACAATCCCAATACCATCTTACCCTCTATACAAAACTTCCCATCTCTTAACTTCTGTGTCTCTGGGAACAGCTGCTTACAAACTTTCTGCATCTAGTCCCTGCCACATTGTAACCACCTTGCACTATCTGTGGCCCTATTTACATGGTATCACTTCACAATAGGCAGCTATAACTGTACAGTTCTTTTCTTTATCATCTATTGGGGATTTGTTCTTATCAATGTTAATATAGGTCAGTCACTTGTGAATCCCTTCGACCTGCCTAGCTACCGTGTTGTAGGGAGTGTTAGGAAGCTGGGCTCATTTTATAAAATGGCTTCATTTACCCCTCTTTTTTTCTTTGTGTATTCAAAATTGTAGAAAAAAATGCAATAATTACTGGCTAATTGAAAGTCTTATCTCATTCCAACCTTCAATACTTTAAAATCAAATACAGAAGAAACATCTTCATTACTGCACAAAATGAATATGCAAAGGAAAAATGTTACACTGTAATTCTTATAACTGCTTTTTCACCAAAAATCACCTTAGAGATGTATGTACATTGTACATGTGCTCCTTACAGCTAGACCACTTGATCAGAACAATAGAAGAATGTCTTCATACCAGTCAACGACCTGCTCCATGTCAACATCAGAACTCACAGACGTACACTGTAATCCAAACAGTTTGTTATGTACAATACTTGATTAAGCCTATTGTTTACAACCTAATCAATACATTGGCATAAATTGATGGGACATTATGTTAGAGTCTGTCATAAACCTCTATCTTCTGGCTTGCATTGTACGGTACATCTGTGCATGTATACCTGACTGTCTCTTCATTGTGAAATGCTCTCTTGTGCACCGATGGTGATTACTCTAACAATGTATTGAACAAATAAAACAAAAAGAGCAATGAAGCATCAAAGATTCCATTAGGACTAAATGTAATCACTGAAACTGAAGAAATTGGTCTGGGACCTTAAGCAGACAATACGAGTATCAGCATTGCCACTGAGTGAGAAATAGATTTTTTGCATGAAAAAGGGGTGGAAAATATGAAATTGTTTTTTCCCTGGATAGAGAATATTTCCCTTTTCAACTCAAAGCTGAAAAATGCAGATTTATATTGTCTCTCTCAACATAT